CCCAGGAATTTCGATGTAGAGTTGGGAATAGTACCTCTCTAAGTGGGCAGCAACGAGTGGCCGTCGACTTCTGCCCGCACGTTCTCGTGAAGCCAGAACAGACATTGTCGAACCAAGGCCCGCTCAGCGACCAAAATGAACTTTCGTGGTTCGATTCGATCGAGATACCAAGTCCCACGAACGAAGCGCATGCGTCAAACATCCAGGAGCCCGTCCAGAACACAGCGTAGACTAGCTCGTTCGAGTGTGACAACTTGTTGAGACTCTGCGGCATCCCCGTTATGGGTGCATTGCCATGCTCACGAAGCGAGCGAGTAGGACGAAGCGAATGATTCGCGCCATTGTCAGGCATCGCGGTTGCTTTGACCAAGGCTGTCCCGTTTGGCATTGGTCATGCAAGTGTGGCTGGCCTGTCGACTACTTTAGCAAGGCGGCGTGAGTTGACATCATCTCAAGTGTACGCTTCAACCGACAGTCACACTGTCCCAGCGCACCATGTGCAAGTCGCAGAGTACCGTCAAGGCCAGATAGGTGGACAACCGACAACGGTCTTACCCACCTGGCAACCATTGTGTGAAAAGTGGTGATGGCCTTCACACCATTACGTCGCAACACGACAGTCGAGCTGGTGATGTTCAATTTCGAATCACACTTCATCGAGCTCGATCACAATCACAGTCAACAACACCACCGACTTTGATCCACAACAGACACAAGGCATACAGCATGACCTTTCTTCGATTAAAAGACAATCTAAGCAAACAAAGCAGCGATAACAAGAGCCGATACGGACAAACCGGTAGCGACCGCAGAGGAAGGCGCAGGGGTGACGTCGGGGGCTGCAGTCGTTTTCGGGGGAGGTTCCGTCACAGACTTGGTTTCGCATTGAGGACCACCCCAGCCAGTAGCACACACGCACTTCGCGTCAGGACCACATTTGCCGTTCGAAGGACCACTGCATGCAGCTTCCGACGTAATATCACAATCAGCGCACTGGTTGCCCTTGGAACCAGGTTTACAAATGCACTTGCCATCCTTGGGATCGCATTGACCTAAGGCGCCACATTGACCAAGACCATCACAGACGTTGCCCACAGGGACGTTGCAGTTGTCCTTCGGGTCGTAGCCTTGGTTACATTTGCACGCGTATTGGGTGCTGAAGGCACTCGTAGGCGCGCACGTGCCATGCCCGTTGCAAAGTCCGTTGCTGAAACCATTGGTGGTGTTGCCCTGGCACGCCTTGATTTGCTTCTCGGTGTATTCAAGACCATAGTTCTTGGTTCGGTACAAGTCACGATCAATGCACTTGTAAATACCATTCACAAGTGCAACAGAGCCGTTCGTGAGTGGAACTTCTTGGCGATAGCACGTGACAGGTGCTTTGGTTGTAGTCGTGGCTTCTTGCAACATGCGCGCAGCAACAACTTGCCCATTAGCAGTCGTTGCTTGGGTACACTTCGGGTCCGGGACAAACGCACAAATAGGTTGAACGTTGCGAAACTTCAACGGCCACGCACCAAATGTAGGGCAAACACCGGCAGAATTACCGACGCAAACGCGGGAGCCGTCTTGGCTGACTTTCTTGACGCATTGCGCAAGGTTGCTCAAGCCAGCAGCCGACGACTGGACAGCCACGCATTCGTACTCGGTGCCGAACTTCTTGCATTCCGTGCCACCTGCATTGCACACACCGGGCTGGCTCTTGAACACTGTTTCCGAGATCGGGGCGGACGTCGTTTCATCCGACTGCGCGAACGCGGACACGACGAGGAGCGCCAGGTATTTGATTTGCATCTTGCCGAGTCAAATGGAGAATGAGGCGTCGCGACGACCGTAATGCTGCCGACATGGGCACCAGCCAATCCGATTCCAGGATTTACCAACCAGCCAATCAGAACGGACGAGAAAAAGAGCGCCAGTTTTTCATACAAACTTGCAGTCGACCTGAACGCATTACTACCTCGCTTCTCCCACGTATGTTTCTTGCGCAGGGAAAAATAATTCTATACAAGTTTGTATAAGTTTATTGAAAATTGAAGAAATTGGCCCCATGGCAACGTTACGATCCGGGCGAGAGTGGCGCTAAATCGATGCAAATAGTGCCTCCAACGCCCCCGTGTGGAGGCACTAAAACGGTGGTTTGTTGACATAACAAGTATTGGCGGTTACACCCACATAGCCACGACGTTAGTTGCGCCAGCCTCTCTGCGATGTGGACACGACCGCGGTGGATGATGGCAAGCCGCGCTCGACGCGTTCACTTTGCAGAAGTCTCCCTGTGTGGCTCGGCCAACAACTCCATCCTACAGGTTCTTAGCGTCAGGGTTTGGTCGCGTTGAACCAAACACGCTGCCTGCATCTACGCGAGTGTCGGAACTTGTACCCTTGTCACCGATGCAGCAGATTCTGTTGCGTGGAGTAACCAGTATGCGGCCATGTGCGCATTGCTGTACTTGCCGTGACATGACGTTTCAAGTGGGTGCTTTACATGGACTCTTGCCCACATGACGGCGGTCGACGGCCGCAAGACCTACCTCCATCCTTGTTGTCGTGCGGATTCACGCCACCAGCAGCAGTGAACACTACCTCCAGCATCAAATGACAATGCTGACGTAACGACGTAAGTTTTAGGTACCTGGGACTCTCCAACCTATTCTGTGTAGATGTGGACAACCACATCGTCGCGTCCTCCGCGTGACGGATCCTTTGCTCGTGCGAATCTCGAGAGCTGAATGCACAAGGCGAGTGCGCACAAGTTGTCGTGCTCCAATCCATCTCGTATCCACGCAATTGCTTGGACATACTCATGTCGTTGTGCTTGGTATATTCGTGTCCATTAACCTGCCCACGGCCGATGCATCAACGTTATGGTCAGTTCACAGCGGCCGGCCTGTCCTCACGCACGTCGGCATGGATTGACTGCTGCGCATCAAATCTTATGGTTACGAAGCGATTCGATCAAGTCCACCCCTTAAATGCTCATTCACCCCTAGTTTCCTCTCATGGGGAAAGGTTCCTTGGCTGCGGTTGTCATTACCATCGAGCTCTACTCCGACGGCGCTTCATCCTGGTTGAAGCCGTGTCTATCTCGGTACAATGCCAAGAGCAGTTGGAAATGGTTGTCCATCGACATGAACCACGGTGAGGCGCAACATGACTTCAGCGCGAAATGAAGGCACAGCGTGGCGCAACATGGTCTTGGCGACTCATGGACAGCCGATATTCTTGACGTTCCTAGCAATGCCATCCACCTAGATCACGTCCTCCCGAAGGCGGCTGCACGGAGACATGCACAGGCGTGTAACTCACAGCAATCCGACCCGTTGTCGTCGGCGATGTACAGGATTAGCGGCGCTTCCACGAGACTGCCAAAGGCTCAAGGCCGTTGTTTGTGTGCTGCCCAGGACGGTGAGGCGGCCAGGATCGCGAGATGAGCCTCCGATGTTCGTTTCGCAGGTACTCATCAGGCTGGAACCGCGGCATCTCTTCGCCAGCACAACCAAGAGAGCTGTCGACTGCGGCGACAGTGGACTGGCCTGTGCGGGCAAATTGTGGCCACCGCGTGGACAGCTATTTTCGGACCCACTGTGCGTACATGAGCAGCCGAATCGATTGTACGAGTAGAAGCCAGATCCATTTCCAATCATGAAGTGGAGGGCATGCTTCCACTTTGGCTGGTCGAGCGTTTACCCTCCCTGCGTCGGCGTCATTTCGTCGAAGCGATTTTTGATTCGGCCACATGGCGCCACCAGCGTCGCCGCAATGCCATGGCAACGGCGGAATTCCGTGAGTCCACCGATGACGCGCCCGATAAAACTCGTGCGTTCAAGTGTATATCGAGGGGACCAAGGGCTCGTACACTCGACTACAACGGGGTTGGCAAGTTTTGCATGCACCAACTGCCAGGTCATGTGGGACCCTGACATCGCCGCCGCTACTGGAGTCAAAAGAGGAAATCTGAGCTGCCATCTTTCCACAAACCCCCATGCATGTCCAACACGAATATGTAGTGACAGGTTGGTCCTGGTCGCGCGGCAAGAAGAACTCCTGCGGTTGACCACATTTGGTTAAACGAGAGTTTGACTCGGCTCCGACCGCCGATCCCAGTCCGTAGAATCATCTCGCCAAATCCTTGCTCTTAGCGTTCTGCTGTGCCGATGGTGTCGCCACCGCACGTTCACCATTGACGGCAACCGTCTTCCCCTCGCCGCACTTGTTGCGCCGCCGCACCGACGACATCCATGACGTCTTCGGTCGAGAAGATCCGTGTGGCCAAGCATGCGTCATGCATGTGGATGCAACCGATGGAGATGCATAGCAGGTGCATAGCTTTGGAAGTTGCATGGCGCGTCAGGTGGGGAGCGAACCTTGGTGCCGTTCAGTCCGCGCTGTGTTTACCAGTACAGTACTGTTAAGCATGGCAAAACGTGGTGTTGAAACCTCTCTACTATAATCCCCATGATTATACGTTTCTAAAGGTTTTTATGAGTTTGAATTTGTCCTTTGTGGTGCACGGAATCATGGGGAAGAGCTCCAAGTCCAAGCGACGTGCGTCGTCGTCGGATGAGAGTGACAGCGACGACGAGCGGCGGCGTCGGCGGCGAGAGAAGAAGAAGAGCAAGAAGGCGTCCAAGATCGTCAAGGAGATGGGGTACTCGAACGAGCAAAACCCATTCAACGACGCCAACCTGACCGAAAAGTTTGTGTGGCACAAAAACAAAAACCGCCCCACCAGTAGCACTTCCAAATCGTCGTTGAGCAAGCGGCGCAAAGGTGGCGAATCCGACGAAGACAAGCGCGAAGAGCTCGTGCGTGAGATCATGAAAGTCCGTCGTCGTCGAGACGAACGCGACGCTGAGCGAGAAGAAATGGAGCGACTCAAGAACGAAGAGATGCGGCTGCGAGATGCGTCGCAGTACGAGGATTGGCAGAAAAAGGAGGAAGACTTTCATCTGTCCCAGGCTCGTGTACGATCGCACATTCGTATCCGCGAAGGCCGCGAGAAGCCCATCGATTTGCTGGCAAAGAACCTCATGCTCGCGTCGCTCTCAGCGGTCGCGATGATCGATCCAACGAAAGAGTTGACCGAAACCCTCGCCGAACTCAAGCATGCGCATGTAGAGCTCCGCCCACCCGAGGAATTGCTCGCTGACTTGGACGTGCGTGCGCTGATCGAGCTCAAGGACGAGATCGCTGAATACATGGATCTCGAAGGCAGGACCGGGGAGCACTTTACATTCTGGAAGCTGCTTCATGTTATTTGCCAGCACGAGATCCAACGGCAGCAGCGGCGGAAGAGCGGACGCGGTGCGATCCACCGAGACGTCGAAGCGTCGATCACGGAGATGCTGCAGGACAAGTCGACTGCGGAACTGGATGAGGTAAATGCAATTTCTTCCTGCTTGCATTTAAAACATTTGAAAAGCTCGTATGCTCATTTAAAATCCATTTGAAATGTAGCTGAAGCACGAGATCGAAGGCACGCTTGCCGGCCACGACAAGAGCGGGATCGATGTCGAGTACTACGAGAACGTGCTCGCTGAGATCGTGGTGCAGCAAGCAAAGGTCGAGTTGCGCGCAATCCATGCGACGCTGCTCCAGCGCCTGGCGGATCGCGTCCAGGAGCAAGAAGCAAACGCGGTGCATGCGGCTGCGCGCAAGGCGGCGGCGGCGGCTGGCCCAGCCGACGAAGATGAGATCGAGCTGTCAGAGAAGGCCAAGGCGAAGCAGTTGCTGGATGAAGAATTCCTTGTGGACGACGACAGCCGCGAAGCGCTCGCGATGTGGACAGCCGAGATGAACAAGGGCAACGACGATGCCGAAACGCAATTCATCGACCAAGTCGACGTGGCGGCCAAGACATTGCGGCTCGCGGCGTGGAGCCAGAAGTACCGCCCGCGAAAGCCTCGCTTCTTCAACCGGGTCAAGACTGGCTACGACTGGAACAAGTACAACCAAACACACTACGATGGCGAGGACAGCGCGCCGCCCAAGATCGTTCAAGGGTACAAGTTCAACTTGTTTTACCCCGACTTGATCGACAAGCACACGACGCCCAAGTACACGTTCGAAGCGATCCCAGGGACGACAGAGCTGTGCATCCTGCGGTTCTCGGCCGGGCCACCGTACGTCGATATCGCGTTCAAGGTTGTCAATCAAGAATGGGAGTTTTCCCATAAGCGCGGGTTCAAGTGCGTGTTCGACCGTGGCGTCCTCCAGCTCCACTTTACCTTCAAACGCCACCGGTACCGCCGCTAGCAGCATGGGCCGAGCACTTCGGGAGCCCTCCACAACTCGAAAGGGACGTTTGTACCTGTTGCATTACTATTACACATCGAATTATCCAAGTCGGTCGGTCGATGGACCTACAATGGGCCTTGGCTTTGTAGAGTTAGGGCAAACGTGCAATGGACTTCATGGTGCACGCCATGATGGCACCAGACTAGAGCCGACGCCTGGGCTCCACCGCTCTGCAAGGGTCTACAACATGCTTGGACGGGAGCTCTGCTCCTCGCACAGGGCACGTTACGAGAATCTTCGCTGGCGAAGCTGTCCTCACAAGCTTTCACCCCGCAGCTCGTGAAGTCAACGGCTGCTTTTGGGGTGGTGATTCGGCCTGCCGCGAGTCGATGGTACTGCTGAGCGACCTTTCTCAGCCTGGCACTGCATGCTCATGCGCGCACGAGTTGCTAGCGCAGACAAGTTCGCTGTCATGGAGTGCGCGTAGCTGGTTCGAGACCACATCGCCGAGCGCATTGATTGGCGCTTCGTTCGACTCGATGAACGACTCCATGATGACTTACCACATGGGGCGGTACGTACCAGTGCAGATTGGACGTGACAGGGATCACCTGGCCGACACTGACGAAGTCGTCCATTCTGAAAACAGATTCTTGTGCTGCGCGTTCAGGTTGTCGCCGTCCGTAAGACATGCACGAAGGCATGCGAAGTCTGCGTCGACTTGCACGGAAGACAGAGTTTTCCCGTCGCTCAGTACATACAAACGATCCCTGCCTCGATCAGAGTTTGTTCACCTCCGACTTGGATAGCTCATGGCAGCGTGTGTGCTGTGCAAATTGGTCTCATGCCGCAGATGAAGCGTTCATGTCCGTGAAATATGAATTCACTTGAATGCACGAATTCGCTCTACTCGGCATGGTACACTTGTGGCCGTCGGTTGGTCGAGGTGCAGCACTTGCGTGTGAACGATGGAAGACACTGGCTTGGATGTCTCGCGCGCCCTCTTCACCTTGAGCAGCCGGGCCGGGCTGAGGCCACATGCTACCTTTAGCCTGCACTATTCGCAGCATTCGACCATAATCTCCGCCGTTGCCGTCGCGTCGGCGCCGCTGAAACCGAGAAGAATCGTGACTCTGTTGGGGGTTACAACCCGCCAACATCAAGTCTACAAATAAGTTCCTGGCTGTCCAGTCTTGCGGGGGTGTTTATGGTATTTTATCCGGAATATGTAGGCCATAGTCGACAAATACGCCAATGTAGTGTACGTACAATTAGTAGTGTGTGCAGGGGTCAACGTTATCCGGATGGAACAATTGCAATTAGACTTCCAAAAAATATCAATGACGGAGATGAAACAGCCCGCGCAGACGTCCGCGCGGCAGCTCGACACGAGAGGATCGTCTGGCGACGACGAGGATGACGCAACATCGACCAAGTCAAGGCCTCCGCGCGTGAATGGTTTCGACGCTCCGCACTCCCGCGACCAGTTCATCTCGTGTTCAGGACATGTTATCAGCGGCCTTGCTTTTTACGTGGGCATGGGCTGCCTGCTCCTGTCGTCATACTCTTCCACTCGAACACAACTCGATTTCCCCGTTACGACTGCCAATGCAAGTGCGGCACCGCACGATGAAGGATCCATGCAGGTAGCGTTTCGCGCCTTGAGGAACTCCTTCATCACAACCGGCATGGTAACTGCAGGTGTGGCTTTGGGTTGTCCTCGCCTTCCACATCGCCACGATGACAATGCTACTCGCAGCATGGATCTCGTGCGAAACATGTAACCCTGGAGAGATCGCCGCCTCAGAACCTTCCTGGCTTGGTGTCGTGCTGCGGGGGCCGCGATGGGACAAACCACGGTACTGCGCCATCTGCCGCAAGACCGTCCCTGGCATGGACCACCATTGCACATGGTTCGCCTCCAGATTACATGAACCCGTCCCACTTGACACGATGGTTGTAGGTTGAACACGTGCATCGGACGGCGGAACTACGCGCAATTCTTCACGATCGCCGTGTGTGGCGAAATTATTTTCTTGCTCCAAGCTGTCGTGTCGGTGTCGTGCTCGTTCATGTGGCAATTCCCGTGGAATGAGTCTTTCTTTCATACTCAAAGCAATGTCCTTGGTCTAGCTCAGGTATATCGACGTGCTTCTTGGCCACTCTTGACGCACGATGCTTGTAGAGCGCATTTGTTGTGTCCGCCATTGTGTCAGTGCCGTGCCTTGTCATGTACACGACGCTTCTGGCGTTCCACATCTATTTATCGTTCCAAGGCTTCGGCACGTACGACTACTTTCTCAAACGGCGTGATGCCCAGCGTGCCGAGCGACGAAAGAAGCGTGATGCGGAGATGGAACGGACCAAACAAGCCATCGTTCAACTGGAACAAGCAACCAGTGGTCAACCAGGTGGAAGTAGTGCTATCGTGTAGATATAGATTGGTGTACACTTAAGACGATGCCTGCGACACGGTTTCTTCGATGCGCTTCTTCAAAGTAGGAAGGAGCTTGATGTGTCCATCCACACACTTGGACACGCATTTCTCCATGCCAGCTTGCGCAGTAGCAATTTGGGATTCCGAAGGTTGCGAGGACAGTGAGTCTTGCGCGCGGTCTTGGCAATCCATGGCGCACCGTTGCAATCGATTCTAATGCGACGCCATCATCCAACGTCCTTCCGACCCTGCGAGACGAATACCTGAAAGCTTTGCATTTCTTGGCTCAGGTAGTTTTGAACCTGCGCCATGGGTTGCTGACATCGCTCGATACAGTGCTGCAATTGCTCAGAGCTAATGTCCTTGTTATCAAAGCACTTGACGCTGCACACGTATCCGTTTTTCTACGACGATAGCGTCAGTCAGCTCGCGCACCACACGACTCCGCACGATTCCATGCATACTGCGCACCTGGAGAGGGCGAAAGGTTCCCTTGTCCAACGACTCCATCATCTTGTTCACAGCTTGGTTGATGTCGGCTTCCGCCATGCTGCTTGGATTCGCCTGAATGCAAAATGACCATTGTATCAAAACGCGCGCACAGTGCATACAAATATCAAGTCAATTGGTGAGCCAATCAGTTTGTCCGAGTCGTATCAATGGCTCCAAGTTCAATTCGATGGAAACGGCGGCGATCGCGGCACTTGACAGCGTTCTTGGTCTGGTGGCACGGCAGCAATGCATGAAGCAAAATCCGTCATGGAGCAACCTCTATGAGCAATTGGATTGCATGTTCGAGCACCCAACCCTGGTTCGAACCATCCTGCGGCGTGTGGCGTGGTGCTCTCACAGTGCGCTGTTTACTGGAGTCACGGCAACCATCGCACAAGGTCTGGTGGAGAGAATTCATGCATCATCTCCAAAAATGCAGGCTTTTCATGCAGTTTTCCACGCGATCTTCGATCCATTGATGGGGCCGTGTCGAGACGACATTAGAGGGGGCAAGGTGAAAGTGTGTCGAGCACGTCCGACCAACGAACCATCGACACAGCGTTGCGCGAAACGATGGGATGCACTCGTCCCTGCCCTCCGCCAATTGATGGAGAGGTATCCTGTCGAGTTTGCCACGTGCGTTCGATCGCTGAACTTGGTGTCACTTGCGACGTCAGGAGGGCACTGTGTTGTTGTGGCGTTCCATCACGTTCTCCACCTCATTCCCCATGCACCTTCCGTCCCCATCATCGAATCTCTCGTTCAGTTGGCTATCCATTCGTTGTGTCACGTCGATGCAAACGTCGTCCGCGACGACCTCCTTCATCGTTTGTACTCATTTCTTCAAGATCTTCCATTTCTATCGTCCGCTTGCGCACCCGACCTCCTCGCCTCCATCACCAAGACGGTCCTTCGCTACACGGAATCACCCATCGAAAGCCCAATTGCGTTCCAAGAGCGTCTGGTTCTGTTGATACAAGTGACGTGTGCAGTATTTCAAGACTTTGCGCTGGACCTGGCCAGTGCCTGGTTCGATCAGCTGCAGACCATTCCGCCTGCTCATCCTTCCTCCGGTGCCCGGCTTCCGACTCCACTGGCGTTCCTCACTGGTTTCTGTGCTCACACATCGTTCATTACAGAACCGTCTGCATGTGCATTTGTCGCGACCCTGCTCTCGCACTCAGGACGAGATCAAGCCCTGTTTGCCGCGTTATACATTGCGGTCCACCGCAACATTCCAATTCCTCGCATCTCCGTGGATGTATGGGAACACCATGGCCTGGCCCAGGTACGGCATATCTGCAGCAGAGTTGTTGACCCCAGGCCCTCCGCTCCGTTCATGGCATGTTCGTTTCATGTGGATTGAAAATTCCTTGGGCGATTGCATCGACGCCATTTGTGTCTCCATTTCAAGGAACTCGTCGTATTGCTTGGTATGATTTCGATCGAATTTCGATGGTTTGGTCACTTGTGTTGTTGGCATGCTTGCGACTTCAGAGTTCGATACGGTCTTGATGGCACATCGATTGCATTAGCTGCCACCGCCTCTCGTGGCCCACATCCTCGCCAAGTACTGCCATCTATCACCCGATGAAGTCGCGCAGCACATGCATCACTTTGGTATCGAGGTAAATTGGCATGTGAGAGATAGAAACGGGGCAAAACGTGCTCTACCTAGTCCACGAACGATGCGACTTGGATGCACAAGATGGTTCCATTTGCCTCCACTCCCGTCCACCTGCGAATGTTGGACGTCGTGCGATTCCATCGTATTCCACCACTCTCTGCCTTGATGAAGCCATGGACGGCAAGGGCACCCCCTTCGACGACGCCAGTCAACCATCACTTGCATCCTGACGTTCTCCGCCACATCTTTTCGTTCCTCTCGTGCAAACGCCTCTGTCGCCTCGCATCGGTGTGTCGAGCGTTCCAGGACACTTCGCAGGACCCGTGGTTGTGGCAGCAACTGTATGCAAAGCTTGGCGCCAATGTATGCACCCACCAGGGAACGTTTGCCCACGACTGGAAGGCCATGTACCAAGAACGCTTTCTCGTCCTTCGCCGCATGCGTCGTGCGGGGAAAGCCAAGATGTGGAGGCTATGCGATCATTGCGGCTGCATCCACATCAGCAAGACGCCGCTACAAGCAGAACGGCACCATGAAAAAGTCCATCAACCCCGCACGGGACGACGTCGACGGCGGCGCGATCCCAAAGTGGATTCCCCAGATCTGGAAGGGGTGAAATCCGGATAAAAACCGGATGTATCCTGTGATTGGCTGCGCAGATGCTGTTGTAGTCTGGTCGGCACTGAACCTGCCGCCATGTTGGGTTGAGTGCGGTGATGGAGGTCCGAGGCGTGGCGAGCCGACCACTTCCCATTCTCTTGGATGAGCATGCGAGTCGTAGCCGGCAATTCCAAGGAAGCAGACCCTCGACGGGATGAGTATTCGGAAGACGAAGACGGTGTCGGGCAACCGCCGCACCTTGACCGGCAGAAGTCTCGCATCGGTGCGAGATGTCACACAGCAAACGGTGGCGCCCGCGTGAGTGTGCGCGACCAAATCTCGGAGCTCAACACCAAGTGCTGCAAACATCACGACATGCTTCGAGAGATGGACGAGCGACAGAAAGCGGACAAAGCGTTGGTCGTGCGAATGATTGAAGACCTTGAGAAGAAGGTGGCGCAAGACTTGTACGTGATGCAAACAAGCCACGACAAAGCCATGAAGGCTGCGAACGACGAAATCGAGCGACTCTCCAAGTGCCTCAACGTACAACGCGGCACCGTCACGACGTTACAAGAGCAATGTGTGTCCTTGCACAAACACCTCCATCAAGTCGAAGAAGACGTACAAACTCTAGCGACCGAAGTGCTCGGCGATTAGCCATTTTCCGTCAGCCCCACCACTTGCGTCCTGGTACAACCCTGACGATTAACCTAACGTGTTCGATTGCTTCAGAAACAATGGACCAAGTGCACTATGGCCACGTCCGGCACGGCTCACCGAATGTGTCGTCGTTGGCATCGCAGCAGACGTAGAGCCTCTCCCTCTAGGGACGCATGGACGTGCAGCAGGGCGAGCTTGGATTAACGCAATGCACACGCCGCGTCGTCGGGTGCCGTCATGTCATGGTCCCTTTCGGTGGGATGCGATGGGCTTGGAAACTAGGCGAGTATACACACGTCAGAGCGATGACAACGGTACAGCCAACGTACAATGCTCTGCGCGAGGGTGTCGAGAGCTCTCGAGTGGCTGCGGGTGGCAAAGAACGCTTCTTCGACAATCGCAATAAAGATGTTCAACACGACGTAGATGAAGAGCGCAATGAACGAGTACAGATACGCCTACAAGGATAGCCATGCGTCAGCACGGTCGGAAGCGTCGCCATGGCAAGCACGCACGGCGCCCACGAACGGAAAGTCGGCGTGCAGCGATGCAAATGTGTCCAGGATGACGTCGCCATTGAGAATCGCGAACAGCGTGACGCACGCTTGCTACGTTATTCAGGATGATTCTCCAGTTGGACGCGCCAACATCGCACCGGAATCCCGCCAAAGCCGTCCACGCGGTACCCAAACACGATCGACCCAAACAAAGCGTACCCAAAAAAGACGGGCGACACCCCCACCTGGTAGCAACCTTGACGCGACGACTGGGAACGCCGCGTGTACGTACGAGGAATCCGACCACCTTTGGCACACTCGCACGGAGCGTCAACACGATCGAGTAGAACCGTGGGTTGTGCTCCAAGTACCCGACGAACGTCGACCAGAGCAAGAGCGGGCCCTACTCAACACAGCTCCAGTTCCCTCTGTGCGTGACATTCGATCTACCAGCGCTTGGATAAACCGGTGGTCAAACCGGAGCGGGACGTGCACGACGACGCTGGATATGTTCCACAGCGCGTTGAATTCGACCAGGACCAATGTCGCCCCGATCAAGCAATAGCTACCGATGGCCATAAGAAGAGCGGGGGTACGACGTAATAAAGATTGTTACGTACTGGCCGTTCAAATCACGCAGCGTGGCGGGTACAGGGTCGTGCTTCGGTCGCCGCGCCAATCTGCGCTCGCAGGATGAGTGGGATGGATGGATGCCCGGGCAAAGGTGGAAAGTATTGGCGTGCGAGAGAAACACGCTGGCCTGCCTGATGTCTACCTCTTGACGGCGCGAACGACGCTTCGAAGGATGACGACGAGGTAGATGCCTGCAAACACTGCCACGAGAACGTTCATCCAGACGAACCGACCGCGCAGAGTTGCCCACACATTTTTGACGCTGCACACGTCCAACGAACACTCGTCAACTCGCAAGCTGCGCAAATTCGATCATCTCCGTCGAAAAACGTGGGTGGAAATGTACCGGAAATGACTGTTCTCGTGCATGGCGAGGGTCAATCGCACGGTCCAGTCGAAGCAGTCGACGTAGAACGGGCCGTAGTCGATGTCGCGCAGGGGAAATGAAAACTCAATGGTCACGAGCGAGTGCAGAAACACCATCGCGGTTTCGGTCGTGTCCAGGTCGTCGAACGGACCCAACGACGTCGGCGTGATGTTGTAGTGCTGCGGCGGCCCGATCGTCTTGTTCTTGTACTGGGTCACCGACATGAGCATGGGCTGAACGATCGTTGGTGCCGCGTAATGGTATTCGTACGTAGCAACAGACACGTCTTTGATGGAAAAGTACGCGTCTCGTACATGCGCCACGGCATTCAATGTGTCGTTGACGGTGAAGATGGACTCTTCCAACCTACGTCGTCGGTGAGCTGGATGGTGGCAAGTGGTCGAGAACCGACGGGGTTGCATCCATCGAGCGTGTCGAGGTGGACATGCCGCCGTTCGGGAGGAAGAAATACGCCCTATTTGTGCGCAAAAGTGAAGCGATGGCAATTTTCGTGCATTGTACCAGTTGCGATAGGATGCACGAACGTAGGCGGAGTTTTGGTTGTCGTATAGCATGATCTACCCATGCGCAAGATTCTACCCATGTCTTGATGGACGAACGACATAGCAATGGGCTTGCCTGCAACGTGCCGCAGAACATCAGGAGCGCATGCAAGATGACTTTCCAAGGAATTCGCCCATGGTGCCAGTATCGTTCCCATGGAGACAAATGCACTCCATGGGCAAGTGGGTTTCCAGAGCGGTCCTTTCCCATCTGTGGCGATGGCGGAGACGGGTCAACAAGCGGCTCCAGCAGCTCCTCTTCTTCGCTTCGCATGATGCTCGACGCGATCCCAACAATGGCAATGTTGATGTCGTGGTTCTTGGCGAAGTTCCATGTTCGTACTTCGACATTCGAACTTCGACTGACTATTGTGTTTGAACGTTGGGCATTTTACCTGACGGAAAGGCGTTAAAATATTTCCCGATTTGACACGTTGACGGTAAACAAAAAAACGCTACGTTGAAAAGCAAGGTAATATTCTGCCCGAATTCGACGTGCGTTTTTCCCTGCACCTGTGGCTGTGCCCCCGCACCAGCACGCACGAGCTCCGACACCCCGGACATGCCACCGGACGACGACTCGAACGCAATGGAAGTCGAGACGGCTGCGACGCCAGCCGCCGAAGACGAAGTGCCGCGCGAAGTCTCCATCGAGGACGCCGACATTGGCGCCCAGTTTGGCCGGGTTGTGAAGTGGACAGAGTTGGGCGTTCACCTCGACCCGGACAAGGTGAATGCGATCACGCTCACATTGGACGCACTGACGCAGCAAGAGCTACAAGTTCACGTGCGTGCTTTGATCGACGGACAACCTTGGAGCTACGAGTTTCTCGTTGGAGGGCAAGGAAACACGGAAGCGAGTGTGCTCAAGCGAGGTGTCAAGGGCAAGGAAGTCGACGTCGCGTGCACGTTCTGCGGGCGCGTGTGCTCGGACACGACGGCAGGTCATTATTGGTTTCACTTGTCCCTTCATTCTCAGCAATCTGGGAACGACAGCCAAAGCCTCGCCATCCACTTGTCCATGGGAGTGGGGACAACCGTCGGCGAGAGAGTAGCTCTGTTCGGAAAGGACTTGCTCCCCCTCTCGTCTACGACCGCAAGCGTCCACATCGAGTCCATTGGAATCACGAGCGGTCGGTCTGCACTCAAGACACGGAGCGCTCTGCTTCGGTCGCATGTGCAAGCTTCACCGTTAGTTTCGTCGGACAGAATCCTGACCGTCATGAGCGACCCAACGGGCACCGATCTCTTGACGACCGAGCAGCGCGCGGAATTCGCTGCTGCATGCGAGAGCGCTCGGCGCCGCGTGGCACGCTTCGGCGGGGAGTTTCGTATGCCAAACGCCAAGCAGTTCCTCGATTCGAAGGTCGTTCGCATCATGCAGCGCAGCGGCGCCGTGGCCGACAAAGGGTTTGCCACTGGGTTTGACGTATTGTCGGCGGAAGAAGCCGCGAAGCGTGATGCGCGTCGCAATCGATTCAATCTCACGATGGACTACGACATCAAGTCGGCGCGGGAAATTTCGAACGGTGCGACGGAAGAAGAGATTCTCAAACATCAAGAAGAGCTCAAGCGGCGGGCGGCGCGGTCCGCCAAGTTCGGCAACACTGCTGCATTCACGTCCACGTTTGTGCCTGGCTCCGCGGAAGGGGCGCTCGTCGCGGCATCGCCCAAGGTCCTCGCGGAGCGCGTCGACCTCGATGTGAATCAGGACGTGCGCTCGGACGCATTGCACATGTACAGCCTCGACGATCAGTTCACGAGCGTCAGGACTCGCGATATTTTGGCCTACTTTTTGGGCTACGGGCCGTCGTACGTCGAGTGGACGAACGACTCGAGCTGCACGATTGTCTTTGACGACGCATTCACGGTGTCTCGCGCCCTGCTGGCGTTGACATCCGAGATGCCCGATGGTGCGGCCTTGGAGGCGCAGCCGACCAAGGAAGCGAACCCTTTTGCTCCGAAACCCGACCACGACGATCCATCGAAAGGTGTCGACCCAAACGGATGGCGCATTGGGCTTCCTATCCACGCCGCGGATCACATGGATCGGTCGTGGCGAGTTTTGCTGCGCCGCGCTACGCTTCGTGACTTTCCACCAGAGAAAACGTGGAAGCGACAACAGTACAACAAGTCGAGTCATCGGCGCATGCAGCGCATGGCCCCCTCCACGACAAGGAAACGTCGTCGAGACCGTGATGACGACGCCGACAGGACGGACAAGCGCGCGCGTGACGACGACATGGCGTAGAAAAACAACTGCATCTATTTTGTACTTTCGGATATGGTTGCGTCAGTTCAAAACTAGACCGTCAATAATTTTGACGCAGCACGATTGACGCAATTTCTGACGCAATACAAACATCAAATGAACGTGTGTTCCTTACGTGTTTCGAAACCAAACAGCCACAACCACGAAAGTCGCAGTGCACACAGAGCACACTCATGACAAGCGCCGACGACAACGATCTCGAA